GCATTCCACACTATCCGGGAAGTGTTCTTAAATGCCCTGGCTCTCCCCAGCCTGGAATGTCCATTTCTTCTCTATACAACTGAGAAGAAGGGCCAAGCATTAGGAGTTTTGGGACAGATGAGGGGTCCCACTTTTGCCCTGGTAGCTTATCTCTAAACAGCTTAATACCACCATCTGGGACTGGTAACTTTGTCTCTGTGCTCTGGCCACTACCGCTTGCTCTCCTGGCTCAAGAGGGACTTAAGCTCACTTTGGGTCAGCCCATCTCTGTCCTTTCCCCCCACCAGCTTAAATAACCCACACGTCTCTTGCCAATCTAGCTCCCTCTAAACTACAACTCTTCCATGTCACGTTTCTTGAAAACCCCTCACTCACTCTTGATTCCTGCCCTCCTCTCAATCCAGCTTCCCACCTCCCTTCCAGTGAACTGCTCACTGACTCAACTCATGCTTGGAAACTCTTCAGGAACTATCCTACAGTGATCCCCTAATTTCTCAGATCCCCTACCAAACCCAACCCTGACTTGGTTTATGGATAGAAGTTTAATTCTCACCTCAACGGGGTCCCACAGGCCATAGTATCTCTCACAGATGTCATTGAGTCAGGACCTCTACCACTTGGAACCACATCACAAAAAGCCAAACTTGTGACACTCACCAGGGCCCTAATTTTAGCCAAGGATGACCTCTTCCTCCAGCATCCCTCCCCTCTACACGACTATTTCCTTCTAAGGAAACTACTCAGAGAATATGCTGATCAGATTATTCCCCAGGCTTCTAGAGGCCAAGTTGACCACCCACTTCAACCTGGAGATCACACCTACCTGCGGGTTCACACCCAACAGAAAGGAGTGAAGGAAACCCTCCAGCCACGTTCCTCCTCACCTGGTGATCCTGTCTACCTCGACTCCAGCCAAGCTCTCAGGACAGCCTGATTGGATTCACCTCTCCAAATTAAAACTGGCCAAGGAACACAGCAAGTACCAGGCCACCAGTATCGGGTCTCTTAAATTATAAATCTTGAGGCCACCTCAGCCATTCCCCACTACACCTACCCACTTTGTTTCTATAAATTTGAAATGAGACAAAGATAATATATAGATAATCTTATAATTTCTAAGGTTGTAGCTTAGTCAACTAGTCTAAGGATGTCTAGTCAGGGTTTATTTAAGGATGTTGCCCAAGCTCTGTCTACATAGCACATGGTAATTAGGAGTACCAGACTGGTATAACTAACCTTGTTGGATGTTTAATAGCCAGACTCTAAGGCCTATATTAATCTGGTCAGAGGGACATAAAGGGACAAATTTTTGTTCCTTGCCCTCCAAGGTCAAACAAGTTCCAGGGGCTTTGGAGCATCTCTCAAAATGTCCTGTAACTTTGGTGAGCCACCTGTCCTCTTGTTCAGGGGGGCCATGGAAACCCCAGAAGATGGACTTGAACCAGTTTCCAGTCTACAAAGAGGAGGGTCAACACAGAGGAAACATTTCCTCCATGCTTCCAAGCAAAGCCCCGGTCAGGGCCTCTTGACTTATCATCATGTAGATGGAACTAGTAAAAGAAAGCCTGAGGAGCCCTGGGCTCCCCTCAAGCCCATGTGACCCCTGAGGTCCAAATCCTCATACAACCTTAAGAGTAAAAAGTAAATTGGTTTATTTGGGCCAACAGTATGGTCTTAAACACCCAAAAGGAACGTATAACCAAAAATTAAAGTCATCAGTATATCTTAAGGGTTGAAGGGATTACACAACCCAGATATTAGACATAAGTTCTTATGTTATTTAGACAATTATTTCTCATTGATGATTTTGTTCCTAATAAGATAATGTTT